CACACAAACGCTTGCTACACAAGCTGAGAGCTATGGGCATAGATGAGGTGGTGTGTACGTGGATAGAGAACTAGCTACGGGAACGGGTCCAGAGGGTATCTGTAAATGGCACCTTTTCAGACTGGGCTAGTGTAATGAGCGGTGTGCCTCAGGGTTCTGTGCTGGGTCCCATATTGTTCAACTTATTTATTAATGACATTAATTAACAGCGCTATTTCCGTGTTAGCGGATGACACCAAAATTGGGAGGGTAATAGACACGGACTTAGACATTATAACATTACAGGAGGACCTGGATAAAATAGGGGAGTGGGCATTAATGTGGCAGATGAGGTTTAATGTCAATAAATGCAAAGTAATGCACTTTGGAATTAAAACTAAACAAATGGGTTATACAATTATGGGTATGCCGCTAGGGAAGTCAGAAATGGAGAAGGATTTGGGGGTCATTGTAGACCGCAAACTGAAAAGGTAGCTTGTAGTGCCAGGCTGCTGTAAACAAAGCCAGCAGGGTTTTGTCCTGTATTAAAAAGGGGATGTATTGCAGGGACAAGTCTATAATTTTGCCACTTTATAGATCATTGGTTCGACCTCATCTGGAGTACGCGGTCCAGTTCTGGTCACCAGTACTAAGAAAAGATGTCCTTGAGTTGGAAAAAGTCCAGCGGAGGGCAAGCAAACTAAATAGGGGTATGGAGGACCAGAGCTACGAGACAAGGCTACTAAATTTAAACATGTTCACATTGGAGGTGAGGAGATTAAGGGGGGATGTGATCTCCATGTACAAAATGTTCAATGGTGGTAGCAAAATTAGCAATAAACTGTTTAAAATTAACTCCATTACAAAAACTAGAGGCCACCACCTAAAATTGGTGGAAAAAAAAATTCCAGCACAAGGGGCGAAGGGGGTTCTTCACAGTAAGATCAGTTAGGGTCTGGAACTCACTGCCACAGGCGGTGATTTCAGCAAATAATGTGGAATTGTTCAAGAAACTTTTGGACGATTTCTTAAGGGGACATAATATACAGGGGTACAGGTACTCCTAGAATGAGATCCTAATAGGTTGGACTTGATGGACTAATGTCTTTATTCCACCTCAAATACTATGTAACTATGTACTTTACAGCCCAGAGGTTAGCGGGAGCCTTCCCCTCTTCTTCCCCGCTCTGCTGGCGAGGATGTGGATTGGTGGGCTCACTGTCTCATATATGGTGGTCATGCACCCCACTCAAGTCTTTCTGGTCCGATATCTCCACCCTCATATCTGTAATTACCCGTGTCCCCTGCAACATACCCCCACAACTCGCTCTAATGGGAATAGGTCTGGAAGACTGGCCTAAAACATCCCGCACAGTGGTATTTCATGTCCTCATTGTTGCTCGCCATGCTATAGCAAGAGCCTGGAAACAGCCTGAACCTCCGCCTCTGCGAAATGTCATTAAAATCCTAAATACCCATGCTCACTTTGAATTTCTCTTCTCTAAAGCCAACCTTACTACTCACCTCTTCACCTCCCAATCCTATACTCTTGTACTGATGTAAGCTTTAGAATGGCGGCTGAGACTGCAGCAAACTGAAAAGGTAGCTTGTAGTGCCAGGCTGCTGTAAACAAAGCCAGCAGGGCTTTGTCCTGTATTAAAAAGGGGATGTATTGCAGGGACAAGTCTATAATTTTGCCACTTTATAGATCATTGGTTCGACCTCATCTGGAGTACGCGGTCCAGTTCTGGTCACCAGTACTAAGAAAAGATGTCCTTGAGTTGGAAAAAGTCCAGCGGAGGGCAACCAAACTAAATAGGGGTATGGAGGACCAGAGCTACGAGACAAGGCTACTAAATTTAAACATGTTCACATTGGAGGTGAGGAGATTAAGGGGGGATGTGATCTCCATGTACAAAATGTTCAATGGTGGTAGCAAAATTAGCAATAAACTGTTTAAAATTAACTCCATTACAAAAACTAGAGGCCACCACCTAAAATTGGTGGAAAAAAAAATTCCAGCACAAGGGGCGAAGGGGGTTCTTCACAGTAAGATCAGTTAGGGTCTGGAACTCACTGCCACAGGCGGTGATTTCAGCAAATAATGTGGAATTGTTCAAGAAACTTTTGGACGATTTCTTAAGGGGACATAATATACAGGGGTACAGGTACTCCTAGAATGAGATCCTAATAGGTTGGACTTGATGGACTAATGTCTTTATTCCACCTCAAATACTATGTAACTATGTACTTTACAGCCCAGAGGTTAGCGGGAGCCTTCCCCTCTTCTTCCCCGCTCTGCTGGCGAGGATGTGGATTGGTGGGCTCACTGTCTCATATATGGTGGTCATGCACCCCACTCAAGTCTTTCTGGTCCGATATCTCCACCCTCATATCTGTAATTACCCGTGTCCCCTGCAACATACCCCCACAACTCGCTCTAATGGGAATAGGTCTGGAAGACTGGCCTAAAACATCCCGCACAGTGGTATTTCATGTCCTCATTGTTGCTCGCCATGCTATAGCAAGAGCCTGGAAACAGCCTGAACCTCCGCCTCTGCGAAATGTCATTAAAATCCTAAATACCCATGCTCACTTTGAATTTCTCTTCTCTAAAGCCAACCTTACTACTCACCTCTTCACCTCCCAATCCTATACTCTTGTACTGATGTAAGCTTTAGAATGGCGGCTGAGACTGCTGCTTTAAGTACCCTTTATACTACTGTTTATGCTTATTTGTTTTTTTCCCTTATTGTATCTATTTACTATATGCAAACCTAATAAAACTAATTGTTAAAAAAAAAAAAAATTTAACAGATGTTTAACCACTTCCGGGCCGGCCGTAGTAAAAAAACGGCCGGCCCGGAGCTCTCTAGATCTGAGCGGGCGTCTTTAGACTTCCGCTCAGAGCGCGCGAGCGGGAAACGGCCGAAATTTAAAAACAGGCAGCGGTGCCTGTTACCATACAAGCGATCC